GGGTAACAACATCAACTCCAGTGATGCGGTTGCATTTATTTCACCTCCATGAACTTTCTAGAACAAGCAAATTCAGAGACAGAAAGCGGACGAGGTTATTCAGAGACAGAAAGCGGGGTTGGGGAGCGAGGCAGAGTAGGGAGATAGACTTAATAGGTTCAGTTTCTGTTTGAAGTGATAAAAAATGTTGGAAACAGATGGTGGCGATGGCCGTAGAACACTGCAAATATAATCCATGCCATTGAACTGTACACTTAAACACGCTAAAAGGGTGATATTGCCAGAACAAAACAAAACTCTCAAGCATTTTATGACAGGGACCGTGTCTGTCTCTTTGTGCGCAGGATCGAATGCATAGACAATTAGCATATGTTTTTCTGGGTCAAAAGAGAAGCCCACTAGCTGCGGTGAGGACAAGGTACTGTGCAGTACAGAGCAGGGGCTCTGGGCCTATTGAGGGGAGGGGACAGGGTGTGCAGAGGCTAAGCGCTAGTCTGGGAAGGGATCCCAGAGCAGGCAAGGCCAAAGCAAAATCACAAAGGCAGGAATTCACAGGCACAGAAGTGGGGCTAGTGTCGACGAACCATAGTCCGGGCAGAGTGGAGCACAGACAAGCAAAGACAACACTGCCAGCCTGGTGTGGTATTGGTAACTGAAAAGCACACTGTTGGGAGGTGAGGCTCCTGGCCGCCAGGGACCATCAGGCAGAAGGACCTGTACACCATCCTTAGGGAGGCTGGGTTTTATCCTGCAGGTGATGGGAGCCTCTGTGTGGTGGGGTGAGGAGACAGAATTTGAAAGGGACATAACTAAACATAGGAAGTGAGGCAAAACAGTAACAGTGGAAGTAGGGCCTGGGGAGAAGTAGTTGTCTCAAGAAATGGAGTTGTCTCAAAGTAGGAGTTGTCTCAAGAAATGATTTGGAAATAATAACTGAGTAGGTGGGAGGTGAGAGAGGTATTTTGAATAATTTCGCAAGGCTTTAGTTTGTTCACTGTATTAACTGAGGCTGTGAAAACAGGAGGAATAAGTTGGGCTGTGCTAAGGATTTCCAGTGCAGCTTGGGCTTTGAAGCTGACTTTAAAAGTACATGTGGTAAGATTTTTTGTTCTGATGATGCCTTATACCTGATCCCTTCAACACCTCGTGGTTGCATAGGCTGGTGTGCTTCTTCCATGTGGGCTTTGTTGCTTCTGAGCTTGATGGCCGCTTGATTACCTTCAAGCCTTTAAGACCCCAGACGCTATACTTTTTGATAGCTGAGCACCATCAGCTTTCTTCGCCACATTTGCTTCTGTACCCATTTGTCTTCAGGGATCCGTTCGACACCTCGTGATCACACAGGTTGATATGTTTTTCCATGTGGGCTTTGTTGCTTCTGAGCTAGATGGCCGCTTGTTTACCTTCAAGCTTTTAAGACCCCAGATGCTGTATCTTTTGATAGCCAGGCACCATCAGTGAATGATGGGGGGAGTGCGGAGTGGAGATCCAAAGCCCATTAGTAGGCCACTGGAGATCCCCTTGCAGAGGGGTCTCGGGGAGGAGATGAGTCAGTCAGGGTGCGAAGTAACAACGATGAGAAATACAACTTTCCTCTAGTTCCTAAATGTTTCCTCCCCGCTCCCACTACCATGACTTGAATTCGGCCTTGCAGGTCTGGCTAGACCAGAGGATGTACACTGGTACAGATAGGAGCTGAAAATACAGGGAATCCAGGGCGAATGAGCCCTGCAGGACCAGTGGTGTGGGTGGCGAAACAGGGAGGGTAAAGGGAGAATGGGTAGGGAAGGGGGAGCCAATTGTAAGGAACTATATGAGACCTCCTCCCTGGGGACAGACAGCCGAGAAGTGGGTGAAGGGAGACGTCGGACAGGGCAAGATATGACAAAATACCCATTTATAAACTATCAAGGGCTCATGAGGGAGGGGGGAGCGAGGGGAAAAATGAGGACCTAATGTGGGGGTTTAAGTGGAGAGAAAATGTTTTGAGAATGATGTACAAATGCGCTTTACACAATTGATGTGTGTATGGATTGCGATAACAGTTGTATGAGCCCCTAATAAACTGTTAAAAAAAAAAAAAAGTACGTGTGGGACTTCTAAAGGTGCAGTGGGGAACCCCGGGGTTGCTAACCAACAGTTGGGTGGTTTGAATCTACCAGCACTCCAGGGGGGAAAAGATGTGGCCATCTGCTTCCAGAAAGACCAGCCTGGGAGACCCTTGGAGACATTCCTACTCTGTCCTCTGAGATTGTTATTCCTGTGAATGGACTCCACAGTAAGGGGGCCGGTGTGACTTCGAAGGACAGAAGGTTGACTGTGACGTGCATAAGACTGCTGTTGAGAGCCTGGGAATGGCTGCCCTCCTAGGATGGCACGGGCCTGGTGATGTTCTTTTCCCTTGGCCTCCGTGACCAACCTTCCTTGGTGCCTCTCTGACCCCTGGTCACTGCGTCTCCAAATGCCTTGCAGGGTCCTCTTGCTCTTCCCTTAGAATTTGACTTTCCTTGGATGATGCTACCACAGGGCTCACTCACCATCCCGCCATCCGACTCATAACCCCTGCTCAGAGCTCTTTCTTCTACCCACTCTCCAACCATTTTCTAAGAGTCTGGAAGGGGAAGAAGAGGCAGGCGGCAGGGCCCAGACCACGTGAAGGTCCACACCTCACTGTCCTACTTATTTGTGGTCAGGCACCTGGTTGGGATTATGATTGTTGGTTTCTCTGAAAACAACACATTTTGGAGATCAGGGCTCAGAATGTAGACCTATTCATAGACATCAACAGCCACCCTCATTTTCTCACCTTACTGCAGCCTATTCAGTCCCTTTTCCGGGCTATGGACCTCCCTCTTGGGTCAAGTGCACTGTCCTCTTTTCATCAGGAACTCAAATCAGGCTAAAACGGAAATGGAAATGGAAGTGCCATCGCTAGGGAATAAGAACAATGGTGCCAATCATAGATGAGAACTCCTCATTTACATGGACTTACTTTCTTAAGCAAAAATCACAACTCCCCTGCAGGGAAAAAGGCAGGCGTTGTACTGCAGACGTCCCTGACGAAGGGCAGCTCAAAAGCAAACCACACCGGGACTTAACCGGGACTTGAACTTTTTATGCAGAGATGTTGGTTAAACTATAAATCCAGTATTCTGACAACTTCACTTTGAACTGTTTTTTACATCGGCTACTTAAAAGCAAAGACTTGCAACAATAGACTCTTTTGCTTCTGAAGAGGTGGAGGTTGACCTAGGACTTGATTAGAACCACTGAAACTAGCACTTTCAACCACTTAAGTCCAGTCATGTGAGCCAGGACAATGCTTCCTGAGATTCGCAGAATGACTTGCACATCCACCAGGGCACCGTGGCCTGGCTCTCGGGCCACCAGCAACTACAGTGTTATTTCTTTCATGAACCCAGTTCTCTGAATGTAACCTCTGAGATGTCTCCTGCAGGACACGTGCTTTAACGTCTTGAAAGTTTCACGAAGAGATGAAGGTTACTGTCATCCCCAGAACGAGGCTCAAAGGTAGACTCCTGCTTTCCATGCGAGAGACCTGGGTTCGATGGCCTCGTGACCTGATGTGCAGCCACCACGCATCTGTTCGTAGAGGCTGACAATATGTGAAGTTGCTGAACAGATTTTGGCAGAGCTTCCAGACTAAGATGGACTAGGAAGAAGGACCCAGGCGTACTAATTCCCAGTCAGTTCATGAAAACCTGCTGGATCACAACAGTGTGAGCCATATCCTATTACGAGGGTGACAGAGGACCAGGCAGAGTTTGGGTTCATGGGGAATAGGGTGGTCATGAGTTGGGGACCAATTTGATGGCAGTTAACACCTTTCCAGAATGACACTCAGGAATCCAGACCCACTTATTAGGCTAACTGCTCTGACGCTGCGCACAGTATTGTCAATGCCAAACTGGCCTTCTGCTACGTGGCAGTGGTCCTTTCCTGCTTCACGGGAGCCGGCCCAGGTGTGAGCAGTGGCGGGGAATAATAATAAACAAGGGCTCAGCCACACCGTGTTTCTTGTCAAGTCAGGCTTCACAAAAGTCCTATGGGCCTATCTCAAGTGCTACAGACCCTCAGGCTCATGGAGCGAGGGTGCGCAAGGGCTGTGATGCTGCACCTCACAAAGTGTTCAGGCATTTCACAGGCTTACAGAAATGCCCACTCACACACCAATTTAAGAATTCAACAGTCATCCCCCCAAGAACAGGTCCTGTGTTCAGCAAGGTATTTTGGAAGGGAGTACTTCTGACACTCGCAGAACACTGTAGTGGTTTTCTCCTCAGATTTTAAAGTCCTTTTTACCCATTCATGACATGTTCTCCATCATTTGATAAGTTTTGCATAGCCTCAAGTTAATATGCCGTTATTAACAAAATACCTTTAAACTATACATATCCGTCGAGATATTTCTATGTTGTAGTAGGCTACACCTTATGGAATGGATAATATTGGACTACTTTTGATCGATCAAAACAAGTTGTTTGCCGCCCCTCCTGTCCCACCTTCCCCGACATTGGAACCTAATAAAACCTGAACTTCAGTTGGCTTGCGGGCTCTCCTTGCACACATGCCATTGAAGAGGGCTTCAGAAAAGTTCATGGAAACATTCCATGATCCTTTCATTCTGTTTTCCCACGAACTTTTTTGAAGACCCCTCATACAGGACTTTCTGCTTGACTTGAGCAGGGCCGATGAAAAAGCTCACCCCATGCCCCAGTGCTGTATGCAGCCTGGCAACGTTGTGTTTGTTGACTGCTGGTGAAGTTCATGAGTACAGTTTAGGGATGTAGTCATTTTCACCCCATTTTATATTTAATAACTAGGGGCAGGAGGAAACCAACTCCGGCCCAGACTGGGTACATAGTTCTCAGAACTATGTACATCCCCCAGTGACCCTGAAAGATGGCTTTTGCAAGTTCAAGGTCAGGTCTAGAAGCAATAGATGCAATCAAACCCATAAAAAAAATCAACAGAATCAATAAAGTATCATATCAGCTTCTATTTGGATCTGCAGTGCCAGCTCGCACTAACATTCCATATTAGAGAGTGTTTATGTAGGAGCACTGTGCCAAGCACCTGGAGAAGAGATGAGCCCTGGAACTTGCTGTCAGGAAACTTATCCTCTGCTTAAAGTTACACAAACATATAAATAATGATAGTCCAAGTGCTTTCCGTTTCCAACTGGAACACAGTGCAGTGTAGCGGTAACAGCCCTTCCGGAGCTTCTAGCCAATTAAGGCCAAAGGCCCGACATCAATGTATACAGCGTCCAGATCCAGTTGACACAGCCGTCAAGGTGGCCCCCTCCATGGGCCCGGACCCACACGTCCTCGCATCACCGCAGAAACCAGGACTAGAGATCCTCCAGGTCGGTTAAGTCCACAGTCACTTTCAAGAACAGGGTGTCGTCTTTCAGGTAGGTGTTCTTGGCATTCTCCAGTGTGGAGTGGGCCACGAAGCGGGGGCACCCAGAGGCGATGTTCATCTCCCCATCGGGCCTTTTAAAGCTGCTGCTATTGGGGTCGGCCTTGAAGGTCTCCATAATGTGGTTCTTTTTACCACTCTGGTCCAAAAGCATCAGGGTCACCCTCTGCCTGAATGGCCACTGCAACAGCGAGTCAAACTCCCCTCGCATCACCACGAAGTACAGCGACAGGTGTGTGCTCTTCCCGGACCCGTCCCCGTTCAGGTAAGCGCGAGCGCAGAGCCGGTAGCCACAGCGGCTGGTGTAGAAGGGCTGGCTGAAGATGGAGACCGTGTGCCCGTCCAGTGCCTCCCGCTTCTTCATCCGGTAGTCTGTCACCTTCCAGATGAGCTTCCCATTGTAGCAGGCCCCCTCCAGCAGCCTGAACCGCTCTTCATTCTTATTCAGCTGGGCTTTATGAGTATTAATGTGGGCGTCGTGCTGGTGCGTCTGTCCTTCCAAAACAACTGCAAAGGGGGAGGAAAAGATTCCGTCAAGCCTGACCGTTGGTTTGAGAATTTTCCCTAAAGGGAATTTTGTGTCCTATACTTCTGCCATCCTGGAGACCGACTAAACCCAGAGTCCACAAATGGTCCATATATAATAATATCAACTCAGTTAGCAAGCTGTTACTTGACCTATGGAACCAAGGAAACTTGAGTGTGTGCTCTTAAAAGGCCAGCTCAGCACTCAACCAGCACCTGGTAGCACGGGGAGCCCCGGTTTTTCAGCTCAAAAACTCCCTACCGTTAAGTCAATTCTGGCTCATAGCGGCCCTATAGGACGATGTTGAACTGCCCCCATGGGTTTCGGAGATTGTAACTCTTCAATGGAGCAGAAAGCGAAGTCTTTCTCCCGATGACTGGCTGTTGAGTTCCAACTGCAGACTTTATGGTTAGCAGCCCACTCCGTAACAGCCGCACCACCAGGGCTCCTTGTTTCCTACCTAGAATGCTTCAAAAGAAACCCTGGAGGTTTTCCACGCTTAAAAACAAACCAGACCGAAAGGGTGGGGAGGGTCTCACATGCTCTCTCCTTCAGCACTGGTATTTGTTTTCCCTTATCCTTAAAAACAACCACTCCCAGTTCTTGGAATTCCCTGGCCCATTCCTATCCCTCACCTCTCCACCCCACTTCCCAGCCCCCAATTTTGCCTGAGTGGCCAGAATCTCACAGCTGTTCCCTTCAGGGAAACCAGATTCCTCCACTGTTTATCCTGGACAGCTGTGACTCGCCATTTCTCCAGATGTTGGCTTGTTTCGCAAACAGCACACAGACAGTTTAGCTCCCCAAAGAGAAGTAAAGCAGAAGGCATCATACCTAATCTCCGATCATTGGTTTCTAGCAGGGTGATCTTCTGTTTAATTGTATCAATCTCGTCCACCAGAAGCCTCAGGTCAAGTTTACTTTGTTGCTGGTTAGCCATTTGCTGGAGCTGATATACTTGAGCTTCCAGCCAAGCCACTTTGTCAATGTGACTGGCAAGAGCCTTTCAGTATAAAATAGAACATAATGTTACAAAAAGAAAACAAATTCATCTTAGTACTTTATTGAGGTGACTTTTTTTTTCTTCAGGGGAGAGCGAGAACGCAGTCCCCCACTACCACAATTATGTAGTCGAGTTTCCCTGGGGAAAATTTGGGGAAATCGCAGGGCTCAGCACATCCGGAGTGCAATGGATAAGCCTCGTCCTGGAAAAACCACCTTCGTCATCGTGGTGTCTCCCCTTCCAGGTAAGCATTGTTGAGGTGACTTTTTAAAAGCTCAAATGCTCCAGATTTTAATGGAATACCAAAACTTGTGAAAAATAAGAGAATATATAATCTGTGTACATGTAATACATATAATTATATAGATATAATTATATGTGTGTATGTGTGTATAAATATAAAAGGATCCCTAGTGGTACAGTCAGGTAAGCATTGAAGTGCTAACCTCAAGTCAGTAGTTCAAACCCACCAGCTGTTCCAAAGGAGAAAGAGGAGATTGTCTGTTCCTGTAGAGACTTACAAACTCTCCAGAACCCTAAATAAAGTTTCTATGAGTGTGACTCAACTCAATGACAGGGGGTTTACATGTACATTAAAAACAACATATAATAAACCTATAGTCAAAGCAATTAAATATAGATGTATATACTAAGTGCACCTATATGTGTGTGTTGTTATTGCTAGGTGCTGCAGAGTCTATTCTGACACAGTGGTGTCCCCAGGTGAGCGTGTACAACATCCCCAGAGTTTTCTAGGCTGTTCACTTGACAGGGACAGGTCACCAGGTGTTGGGTGGGTTGAAATCACTGACCTTCTGGAAAGCAGTAGAGTCCCTGAGGGCTGCGTCTGTGTATAGGAGCCCTGGTGTAGTAGTGGATTAAGCACTGAGCTCCTAATCACAGGCTGGCATTTCAGACCCACCAGTCACTTCTTGGGAGAAAGATTACGCTTTCTGCTCCCATAGAGATTCAGTCTGGGGAAGCCTACGGAGCAGTTCTACTTTGCCCTAGAGCAGTGGTTCTCAACCTTCCTAATGCCAAGACCCTTTAATACAGTTCCTTAAGTTGTGGTGACCCCCCAACCATAAAATTATTTTTGTTGCTACTTCATAACTATAATTTTGCTACTGTTATGAATTGGGCGGCCCCTGTGAAAGGGTTGTTCTGCCCCCAAAGGGGTCGCGACCCACAGGTTGAGAACTACTGCCCTACAGGGTCACTATGAGTTAGAATCAACTAAACGGCAGTGGGTTTGGTTTGGTTTTTTGTCTGTGTGTATGTGTTTATGTGTGTGTAGCCTATCTATAAAGTATAGGAATTACATAGTCTAGATCAGGCATCCTCAAACTATGGCCCGCGGGCCACATGCGGCCCGCCGAGGACATTTATCCAGCCTGTCGGGTGTCTTTGCCCCGGTTGTTTTTTCACTTCAAAACAGGCCAAAGGGACCAGGCTTTAAACACCAAAGGTGGAGAGGGGGAATCATATCCTCATCAATGAGGGTGGCGCGTGATGGAGACCCAATGCCCATCTCTAGACAATTGGACATACCTTCCAGAGGGGTAGTGGGGAGATGAGTCACTTAGGGTACAGTATAGCAATAATGAATTCCACAACCTTCCTCTGGTTCTTAAACACTTCCTCCCACCAACTACCAGGACCACAATATTGCCTTGCAGACCTGGTTAGACCAGATGATGCACAGCGGTACAGATGGGAATCAGAAACGCAGGGAATCTAGGACAGAAGAACCTCTCAGGACCAGGGGTGACAGTGGTGATACCAGGAGGGAAAGGGGGAATGGATCACAGGGAGCTACATATAACCTCCTCTCTGGGGGACGGGCAGCAGAAGGGTGGGTGAAGGGAGACGCCGGACAGTGTAATATAAGATACAACAATAATTTATAAATTATTAAGGGTGCATGGGGGAGAGGGGAGGAGGAAAGGAAGGGGAGGGGGGAAAAAAGGAAAATGAGCTGATTCCGGGAACCCAAGAGGCAAGCGAATTTTGGGAATAATGAGGGCAACAAATGTATAGATGTGTTTTATACAATTGATCTATGTATTGTGATGAATTGTATGAGCCCCAATAAATTGATTAAAAAAACAAACAAAAAAAAAACCACCAAAATAGGATATGTGCAGTGTGCATAGGAATTTGTTCACAGTTTTTTTTTTCTTTTAAACTATAGTTCGGCCCTCCAATGGGTCTGAGGGACAGTGAACTGGCCCCTTGTTTAGAAAGTTTGAGGACCCCGGGTCTAGATTTTCCTGGGATAACTCAAATTTCAAATATAGTGGCCATACCATATGTCTTAAAATCTTTTTCACTACATATTTTGTAATTGTGATTGATGGTACTTTTTCATTAGAAATTCATCTGTGATTATTTAACCATCATGATTCAGAAAGTAATATTTGCTATAATGTAGTGATGTCTAAAGCACGCGTCCATGAATACTTTTCCCTAGTTGATTATAAAATGCAGAACCACAGATACAATGAATTGGAAATCAAGTGACTAACACCAGCCAGCATGAATTAAAACCCTCATTGCTGTGGGCTGTATAAAATACAGGTTCCCAAATGTATTTGGCCTGGAAAAAGTTTTTTCAGTGCCTTCCTGACCATGAAAAGCTTTTGTACTATAGGCCACAATTTGAGACAAAGTGTAATTATTTGCTTTTGTAACACCACCCCTGCCACGCCCCCTGTCTCTCCTGCTGGATTGTTCCAGCACCGCTCTTCAAGGGAGCAGTATCACTCACTTTGGGAAACACCAATATAAAATAAAGGGATATAATGTAAGTAAGGCAAATAAGGCGATATAAAGTAAATATAGGGATATAATGTAAATAAAATATAGTAAAGGGATATAATGTATGCAGCTTATTCTCAAGTATTAAGAAAGAACATGTAAACATATATATATGTAATCAACACTCTGGGTGGAGCGTTCAAGGGTGTTAGTTGCACCATTCTTATTCTGAAATCATATAAATCCTTAAAAGAAAAGGCCTCGCTGTGCCGGGCAAGCTCACCCTGGAGTCTGATTGGAAGTGCTCACCTGGATGCTGGCGGGCAGGTTTCCATTTTTGCCCAGCAACGGTGACAACTGCTTGAACTCCTTTTCAAATTTGGTGACAGTTTCTGCTAGCTGCTGGATTTTACTTTCTTTCTGTTCTAAGCTCTTGCATAAATCAGAAATCTAATAACAGGAATGCAAATTAAGGGAAAAGCGAGGTCAGTTAAATGCCTGCTTCTGAGTTAAAATAAATATCCCCCATCCCACCCTCACCCCCACCTGCCATCTAGTCGATTCTGACTCTGCGTGACCCAACTGCCCTATAGGTTCTAGCCTTTATGGAGATGGACGGGCACACCTTTCCCCCGGGGAGTGACCGGTGGGCTCAAACACTTGACCTTTTGGTGAGCAAAAGTGCTTGACCTTTGCACCACCAAGATGTAAGTTTAAATACAGCTCTTGGAAAATACTTGCAGGTTAGCAGGGATTTTTTAAAAAATCTACACAAATATTTCTATATGTTTCCAGGTAGAGCCCTATGTAATTCTAGAAAAATGTGTGCATATGTTTCCAGAAAAGCAGACACACCACCTACTTTCTTACCAGCCGCTTCTCTGCCTGCCCTGTGACAATGGTTCATGTTAGGATGGGGACATCACTTGACCGAATTTACTGAACTGTTTTCCTACATTCCACAAACCACCTTACCACATTAGAGGCTATATGCAGAGTGCCAGCAATATTAATAATAGCGAAAGTTCAATGAATTCTATCTTCAACTTCATTAGCTCTTTTAATCCTCAAAATAACCCTATGACAGGTTAACCCTATGTCGGTATGAAGACCAGTCCCAGTTTATGAATGAGGAAATGGAGGCAGAGTGTGGAAGTAACTGCCCAGCATACAACATGCCTCTCCGAATCTGTCATCAATTTGACAGAAAGAACCAGCCAGAAAACTAAGACCGAGCCTAGGCGACTCCTCCCTCCCTCCCATTCAATCAGCAATGTTTGCCAACCTAACTCCTACAATACAATAAGCTCCAAACTCAAGACCATGAGCCAGTCCTGACACAGTGACCCTGCAGGACAGAGCAGAAGTGTCCCTGTAGGTTTCTGAGACTGTAACTCTTCAGGGGAGTAGAAAGCCTCATCTTCCTCCCATGGATCGGCTGGTGGTTTCGAACGGGTAGCTTTGTAGCTGGCTGCTCACAATCTCACTAATCCATTTACTTCACCTCATTCTCGTGCAGGTTTCATCCCTCACCACTTCTCACCTGGGATGTTATGATGACAATCTTAAGCTACCTCTGACCAGTGTCTACACACGGACAACCAAAGGTGAGGTTTGGGGAAGCCAGGGTTGGCATGGACCTCATTACCCACTACTGGAGCCCCAAGCACCTAGAGTGTCTGCCAACAGCTCGTTTACTGAATGGCTTATGATGGGCCAGGCACTGTGGGAAGTGCTGTTATCTCATTTAGCTCTCAAAACTGCACAGATGAGAAAACCGGGGGACAGGAGGGCTGACTAGCTTGCTCACCTCACATGATTAGTGTGGAGCCAGGACTCAAACCCAAGTATTCTGGCTCTAAAGCCCTTACTCTTACCAATCCCCAGACTACTGCGACATAGTCTTAATTATTGCAACATCCTTCTGCCTGGTCCCTGTCTCCATTCTCTCCTCTCCCTCCTATTGATCTTGCACACGGCCGGCAGTGGTCCTTTAACACCCAAACAATTAGCTGCCCAAACAGTTTCCTATTTAAAACCTTCCATCAGCTTCGTACCACTAAATGGCTTACGTTCATCACTCACCAAAAGGCTGGTGGTTCAAGCCCACCCAGCAGCAACAAGGAAGAAAGGTCTGGTGATCTATTCCCATGAAAGACTACAGCTAAGAAAATCCCATGTGTCACCACAAGTCCGAATCAACTCAGAGGCGATGGTTTTGTTTTGCTTACTTGTTAAGATTAGTTCAAGTTTGGGGCCCTTAAATCCTTTCTGAAGCAAGGAAGCGTCTAACTGAATTTTAAAACATGGAATGAACAGTGCTCTAAACTTCTTAGCTGACACGAAAGGCCACCACAATCTGTATCCCACACACCCCTCTCCAGCCATCCTCTGGTTTCGCTTGTCCTGGAACCGGCAGGTCGCGACAGAAATCTTGCCCTCCTGGCATCCCTCCTTCCCACAACATTTTATTCACCAACTTTTTCCTCCTGTCAAGGCTCAGCTCAGGTATCGTCAGGGGAGGACATTCCCCGAGTTTAGCCAAACTTCTGCAGCCACAGTACCCCTCTAACTGAGGAGAGCATGTCACAGGAGGCACGGTAACCTACCTGCTCCCATTTCAGACTCCTTCTCAATTGGGGCGGTGTCCCCCTCAGTGCAGTGTCTCTAGCAGCTACCCCCTCCCTCCCATGTGGGAGGTGTTGGTTGAATAAGGGGATGGGTGAATGAGTGGACTGAGACAGGCCGTAGGGGCCCTTACTAGGCAGCAGACCTGCTGCCAACATTACAGTGTTAATCAGTCTTTCTCATTTTCTCCAGGATATGACTCTGTGGACCTCACATGCTTACTTTTAATAGCTAATCAGAGACATAAAAAGATAATCTCCCTCACTGCCACTGAGTTGATGCTGACTCGCAGCAACCCTCGGATAGACTAGAACTGCCCTGGGGGGTTTCCAAGCCTGCAGTTCTTTACGGGGGCAGAACGCTTCCTCTTTCTCCCTCAGAGCAGCTAGTAGTTTCCAACTGTGGACTTTGAGCTAGCAGCCCACCGCTCAAGCACTATGCCACCGGGGTTCCTCCGTAAACTTATCTACAGTAGTATAACCCTGCGGATGGAGACTTCCCCTCCTGATGTCAGCTTGATGCTCAGAGGGTTCTAACAACAGAAGTAATGTGCACAACTACGCAACAGAAGCAGCGTGTGCAGGCACTCCTGGGTTACGGACGGGAGCCATCCCTCATTGTGTCTTCAAGAATTTGGAGGTCTGTCAGACGCAGTGCACAGAGTTCTCGCTGAGCCTGACCTTCGTCTGGTAAGCGCCGAACCAGATCAGGAGAAAGTTGAGGTGACAGAGCCCAAAGCATCAGTACTAACTTGATGACAGTGGGTTTAGTGCAAGAGGAGGCTCAGGGCAAGTGACGGTGGTTGTGATGAAGAACATGTGCGGTGGGGCTGGTTCAATGTTTTCAAAGCAGGGCTTTCAATTGGTTCTTCGTGCTCCCACCACAGCTGGTGAAGCTCAGCGATGGCAGCGCCCGCCCCGCTCAGGATGGCAGCCGACTGCACTCCTCTGACTGTGTATGGCTCTTCACGGTCCTGCCCATAATTCAGTGTCAGGCCTGGGCTCCTGAAAGGGTGGCTCCCTAATTCTAAGGCGCCCATTCCATATTTCCCCCATTTTGATTACCTTGATAAATCTTGCAAATTGTCAAAATTTAGTGGTTTCCCATTTCATTTCAGCAGCCATGAAAGAATGGTTCTGAGCCCTGCATTCCTGAGCCAGTGGGAACTGTCCCAAGGTCAGGCTTCTGTAACCTGGGGACTGCCTGTGTGAGGTCTACCAGGGATATCTCAGGTCCTAAGGTGGGTACACATAGTTCAGTCGACTATTACCTATCTAGGAAATAAGTATGTGTGGATGTACTCATGAGGTTGCAGAAGAGAAGACTGAATAAAATCCATGTAAAACTTAAAATACATACCAACACTCCTCGGGTTATGAACACATGACTTACTGACAATTTCTCAAAACTCAACTCACTGCCATTGAGTCATTTTCGACTCTTAGCAACCCTAAAAGGCGGATTAGAACTGCCCCTATGGGTCTCTAAGACTGCCTGCCAGTCTTTCTGGGAGTAGAAAGCTTCATCTTTCTCCAGTGGAGCACCTGGTGGTTTCAAACTGCTGATCTTGTGGTTTGTGGCCCAATACGTAACCAAGACATCACCAGGGCACCTTCTGAAAACTACTATTTGCCCTTTAATGCTACGCTTCGAATTACTTCTGTCCTGGGCAACAGAAATGCAAAAGGAACTAACCAGAATGTTTACAACTTGGGTGATATTTCATGGTAATGAGAATGGCCAAAAATAAGGGTTCAAACCCTGGAAGGGCAGACTCAAAAGAGGTGGAGTGAGCCTTGTCAGGAGCCTGATTCATGAGATGAGGATGGTGGAAAATCACACAGATTCAAAACAGCACAGTTGACTGCCATCCTTGACCAGGATGTTGCCATCTTTGAAGCGCTGTTTTAGTAAATCTGTCTCCACTTTGAAATGATTGAACAAACCCATAAAGAAAACAAACACACTGCCATCAAGTCAATTCTAACTCATAGTGACCCACAGACAGGGTAGAACTGCCCCTGTGAGCTTCTAAGCCCATACCTCTCTAAGGATGTAGAGCCTCATCTTTCACGTGAGGAGCGGCCAAGGTTTAGAACTGCGGACCACGCACTTAGCAGCTCAACTATGACATCAGGCCTCCTTTCTCTTACTGCACCTACAAGTTTTAAGACATTGAAATGGCTTTGAGTCTTTTCTTGCACTAAGGCTAAATCAGAACTATGTATGCCTGTTGAATGGACCTCCACATTCTTAAAGACCCAGGAACAGAGTTCATTCATAACCAGGGGACTGCCTGGAACTCTAATACAGACAGTCACCTGGTATTTAACGGTGAAGCTGATGTAATTTTAAAACACCAAGCCCCTATTTACTAGGTGTCTGTTATCAACTCAGAGGTAAGAGGACCAGTGGCAGAGAGGCAGCGTCGTCACATGCCCTGAGGAGCACTGGCCTCAGAATCAGAGGACATGGAGTGGAGATCTAATTCTGACACTAACAAGTGCCTGTGTTCTTATTTATTCCTTTGGTTGAGTAACAGGATGGGACTCAGGCTAAAACTCCCAATTCTAATGTTCTGTAGTCCGGAGTATAATTTCCCTCTTAGAAGAAACACATCTCTCTCCAGTTGACTAAGATTGAATCAGAGAATATAAAAGTACCAAATTGAAGCAAGCAACCCTGTGGCTTCTGTTTATATTTAGACCCTTGTACCTTTACCTGTTCCTCTAACTGGACATTCTTTTCTAATACCAGAAGCATGTGGTCCCTCAGTGCGGAATGCTCATGCTCCTTCAGGTTCTCCCGTTTATCCTTGAGGATGGAGAGAAGAACATGACACAGTCAGGTGGTGAAGCCTTCAATCAAAACTGAGGGAGGGTGGGCATAAGGGTCCCTGTGAGGCAATTCCTAGCAGTGGAACTAGAAGGCAATGTGCGGGCCTGCTTTCACTTTCACAGACATCAAAAAAATTCCCTAGCAAAGATTGGCCATGATCACATGTTTTCATCTTTGTTAGTTTGCTGGTAAAACTATTACAACTTATAAGAATGCACTGACCAGCTTTCCTTACATCTATTAGCCATTTGACTTCCCCCGCCCCCACCCCTTAGAATCGCCCATATATCCTGAAGCTTATATTCTTACTAAATTAAAGAACACATATATAATGAATTTTGTATGCTGAGAAAAATGTATATTAACCATGGTTAGATGAATAGATCTAGGGCTCGCACTTAACTCTAGCCCTGGTCTAAGAACAATTAGTTCTTATGACATGGCCCTCCTCAACGTTCACCTTCATGACGCTATCATTGAACCCGGGATGTCCTAGCAAAGTGTGGTGAAGAAACAATATGGTGTCCAGCCATCACAAAGAATAGTGCCTGGGGTCTCAGAGGCTTTAAACAAGCAGCCATCTAAGTGAGGTGTCAACTATATCCACATGGAGGAAGCACACCAACCTGTGTGATCCAAGGATTGTAAAAAATAAAATCCAAATCCAAAGAAGAGAAAGAATGGTAACGGGCTTACGTTGTGAACACCTGGTTTGCAGAGGCTAGGGATGATGGTGGAAGCCCAAAGTCCATTTGCAGAGGGCCCACCTAGAGTCCCCTCTGACCATAGTCAAGGGATGTGACTAGCCTTGCTATCAGACAGAGAGCATTGTAAAGTTGATTATGGAACATCTAGTTAGTTGAAAACGTAACACCTTACCATTTGATCCCCATTTTGCATTTGATCCCCATTTTGACCTATTTAAGAGTTTCCCTTTTTAATATTTTCTGCGAAGTTTTTCTACGTTTAGTCTAGTCCTTGTTGTTGGGTTTGTCTGTTTGCTTCCTGTTTAGGTTTTGAATGAGGTCCTGCACATGGCGAATCTACAGAGACAGTCACTGGATTACTGATTGCCGAGGGGTATGGCATGGACAGATGGGGGAAATGAGGAGCTAACAACGAGTAGGTGAAAGGAAAAATATGTTCCCAAAACTTGATTGTGGTGATGACTGCACAGCTCCTCTAAAGATGGCTAGACAATTCAGTTGATTTTGTGTGAAGTATATGCCAATAACATATTTTTAGAAAAGAAAGAAATGTAGCCCTTTTGTTGCCGTACTTTTCTCCCCAGCCCACGGTTTGCCATTGGACTTGAAGTGCACTGCAGTGTTTACTGTCTTACACTCAATCTCTACAGCAGAGCAGAATGCACAGTGTCAAGCTGGTTCCAACAACGGCCCATTGTGACAGCGCAGAAGGGTGTCCTAAGGTTTCCACAGTGTATTTGGAGGGAGCAGATGGCCAGGTCTCCAGATGGGTTCAAACCGCTAGCCTGCTGGTTGGCAGCTGAGTGCTTAATTGTTTGTATCATCAGGGCGCCTTAAAAAGTCATATAGAACATTCTAGTATTTGTGGTTAAACTTATCAAAGTTATAGCTTCTTGGCTTTGTGTTATCTTAGAAAGGTTTTTTTAATTTCAAGAGTAATAAGAAAATCAACCCATATTTTCTTCTAGTAGTTTTATGTTTTTCAGAATTACAGGAATTTCAGATTGACAGAAAACTTCCAGTGCTAATGTAGCGCATGCTATATTTTAATGTGTAAAACTCTGATCTGCCTGGTTCAGATAGTGATAAATTAATTTGTTTAAAAGACATAGGCATCAAGTTGTATTTTCTTTTCAATACATTTTGTATCATTCATTGGATGTTTTACAGACAACTGATTGAACAGTAGCTTTTCAAGTGCTTAAAAGGCAACAGCCTACATTTTAAGAGATGTTTTCAAGTAAATTTTGTTTGAAAAGACTTGGTGATTGACTGACAGAGGTACTATGAAGCCAGGGCGTTTGTTCAAGGGAGGAGTGACTGCAGAAGGCCGGCCCCAAACCTGGCAGCAGAGGCAGTGGAGTCAGAATTACAAATACCTGCCCGTCTTAAAAGTCTCAGAACTGGACATCCGCTGCATCTTGAACAATGTCAGAGTAAGAAGAATGTAGAGGTGAGAGAAAACACCATTTCCTACCTTCACAGTGCAGCCATAGTGCTTAAATGGACAGTCTCGCTCTGCTTCAGGGCACACAGCAAGGTGCTGAACCACCTGTAAGATGGACAGTCTCAGCTAACGAGAGTCACTGCCAATTCTCCAGCTGCCTGGGCAACTGCATAAGCAGGGAGGACGGGGGCTGGGAAGAAGGGAGGGAACTGGACCTAGCATGGGGGTCAGGAAGAAGAGCTAAGGCCTGTAGAGAAAAATCCAGGGTGGAAGCCCAGAAGAATCCACAGGGAAATGGCAAGGGAAGACAGATACACGGTACTGATAGTTATAGTTTAAGCCTTGGGCTTCTGCCTATGGGATATTATCAAACGTGTACCACAATGATTACTGTCTTACACTCAGTCTACAGAGCCGATTAATATTTAAATCAGATTAAAAAGTTACCTGTGTCCTTGAAAGAATCTGCAAACACTTGTTGGGACAAGATACTGGGTACTCAGGACACACATTTTCCTCGTGATTCTGAAACAGAGGAAGGGGGATGAACAGGGAAAGCCTGCTTACAGGGTCCTCTGTGGGCGCACCGGCAGTGACGCAGACACGTGGACCTCTGGAGGAGGTATGTGATGGGGCACGCCCTCTACAGGAACGGAGGACTCCCTAGTTCCAAAAACAATTTCTTGGGATAAGAACTCAATTAAAAAATTAAAAATTTTAATTAAAAAAATTAACATTCAATTAAAATGAGCAATTATCCCCAAAGAAAGTCAGAGAAATGTCCAAAAACAGCAATAAAAGAGAGAAGCTGCTGAGGCTTCTTAAATACAACCAAAAACCTGACAGGATTCTTGGAAGCCTTTTTTAAAAAAAACCTTTAGAGGTTCAGGGTCATGGTCTCATGGGATACCCCAATTCATTGCCCTCACAATATGTTCAGTGTCTCTGTTTGCTTCGCAGCTTGATGTGTATTGTAGGGTCTTCAAAGACCAAGGCACAGCTGGTCTCTATTTGCCTGAGACAACAGAGGAAGGACAGTTCAGAATAGGAGGGTGAGTTAGTTAATTGTGCCAGCCTGGCCGATAATCACATGTGGTGCTGGTTGAAAGGCGGAGGGATAAATGGGTGGTGAAGCCTCGCCTTTCGAGTTCTCGGGTCTCTTGCTTTGTGATGGTTGCATCGGGTGCAGTTGCCTTAGCAGTTCCCTGCTTCAGCTTGCAAGATTGACTTCCTACAAGACATCCCCAAGGAGAAGCCGCATGGATCTATCCTGATGCAGCCCTGGGTGCTGGAGCAGCCGTGTGGAGACCCCTGCCAGTGCTGAGATGCTTACACGTTCACTGACTCAGCTTTCCTCCTGCAGTGGGCATTATTGCCTCTGTTTTGTGAGGTGAAGGACTATGTGGACTGGTGTTGGGTATGGGTTAATGTTGGACTTGTGGGCTTGGGCAGTATTGGGTTGGGATGTTTTCGTGATGCACCTTTTCTTTGCATAAAACTCTCTCTTATCCATGAGTTGCTGTGGATTTGTTTTTCCAAAGTACCTAGACTAATACAGAGGGGGACATGGAAGGTCTGTCTGGTCACCTCTGTGAACAACTGCCTCCTTTGCCATGAAAACAGAGGAGCTAAACGGTGCCTGGCTACCGTTACTGAACATTTTTGTCTAACATTCTATAAAAGAATCCTGTTTGAAAGTGGGGAACTGCAGAACAGAGTTCCAAATTCTCATGGACCCCAAGATTTTTTGAACCCAGGGAGGGTAGACCCCTGAAGACAAACCCTTAAGCTAAAATGATCTCTTGAGGCCCCTAAACACCAACAAACATTTCGTTTAGCCAAAAAAAGCAGCACCTTGATCTGTATCCACTCTTAAGATCTATCTAAGGATCACGCTGAGAACAGCAATGCCACAGACTGGAAGGAACCACAGAGTTCAGGCGATGGGGCTTGGAATGACCCAGAAAAGGAGGTGAGAATCACTGCGCAGCTTGAGGAATAATCAGGGCCACCCAAAGGTGCAAGTAGAAACCGCTGGGTCGCTCTGTGTCTTGTGGAGTCTATGCTCAACAACACAATAAAGATCTGAGTATGAAGAATGGTCTGAGGGCAGACTGTGGGCCGCCTGTTGGCACATACAGAAGGTCTCCCATGCTCTTTTTTGTGCCCACATCCTGCCGTGCCCGCCGGACCTGTCTCCTGAAAGCAGTCTCGTCGTCGTCATGCGACTTAGCCTCACACATTTGCATCCACTTCAAATCATTTTTCTGTTCACGAGAGTGTCCTAGACAGGGTTTTAAGCATTCCATAGACCCTTTCTCCGAGAAACTTACTCCCCCTACCCCCACTCTGATGGTGAAAATATAGCCAAACCTGTGTCCTCTCAATAATTTCCCCTGTACAATTCAGTGCCACAGTGCCTTCTCCAAGCTGCCCACCAAGCTTGTCATGGTCTTCCAAACAGGTAACACTATTCTTTGGACCTGATTCTGTACAGAGATAAATCCAGAAATGGGCTCCTGGTATCTGTTGCTGATCCACTGCAACCACTTGGGCAGAATATAGCCCCAGAACCCCAAAAACCAGACCCAAATTTATGGAAGCAGATAGCCTCCTCTCTCTCACCCACGAAGAGGTTGGTGGGTTTGACTCGCTGACCTTGCAGTTATAGCAACCCCATGTGTTTGTTACCCACAACATCACCAGGGCTCCTTAGCCCGGTAAAGAGGATTGTCATTTTTACCTGCAAGTTGATGACCACCACGCGCTTTTTGCAATAAAGGCAGTTTGCCTCTCGAAACTGGCAGTAGGCGTTCAAATGTTCGTTGAGATCTCTCCGTAGGATAGGTTCCTGACAGCTCTCATTGGGACACGGCACAGCTTGAAATGAGCACTGCAGAAGGTGGTCCTGTAACAGGTAACGTAGGACAGTGTCACCATTATCCAGGTAGCAGGAAGGGGAGCCAGCAGGGAAGGGCCTGTGAGGGAGCGAGAAGACAGTGGGGAGAGGCGTGGCCCAGGAGCCTCTGCCTGGATGTTGTCAGTCTCCCGCTGCCTCTGCCCCAGGTGACTGGGCTGCAGAGCTCAGAGGGGGTGACAGGCAACCTTGCTTGGTGGAAGATGGAGGGCCAGAGAGGATGGCTCCAGAGCGAGGCCTGCCCGCCTGTTTGTTTAGGTTTCCCAGTCACACGCTCATCTTCTCCGCTTGGTGCAGGCCTGTTTCTCCTTAGATGTGCCAATCCATTTGCCAATTGTTCATGGATATCTTGTGGTTCTTTTGTGAACCTTCCATCCCTAAGCCCAGATGGTAAAGGGCAGGGCACGGGAAAAGGGGAAGGAACGGTCTATGGAACGAAATGAAAGGTAGGGAGAGGAAGCCACTTCCAAAAATGGAGTCAAAGAGGAGAAATGCCAAGGCAGGGGGAGGAGAGGAGGAGAGGGAGGGACTTCAAAAAGTTCAGGGGCAAGGTCTATTATCTCTGAATCCCATTTTTCCACAAACGTCTTGAAGCTTCCTCCTACAGGGCACCAGAGGGAAGCTGGGAAGGGGCGAACTTGTAAAATCAGTAAACATTCTTCATCAGAAGGTTCGAGGATAATGAAGCACAGACAGTATTTACTCCCAGGGTCTGCACAGTGGATGTTCCTCAGTAAGAACCTTTGGACCACTGCGACTTATGATGATGTTGTCCGAATCCTAGAAATCTTGTTTCCCGGAAAGCGCCTGTAACACATGCCTGGCAAGCTACCCAAGGGCCCAGTCTAGCTGTGCCCTCTTTTAGTGATGAAAGCTTTACTGGTTAACAGTCACACCTGTGTCTCTCATACCATAGTCGAGGGCTGCTCTCTCACGGAGATGAGAGAGCCGAAGAGGTAGCTGCCACCGGGATGACGGGCCTGCAGAGCCTAAAGTATCACCAACCGATCTGCTTGCAGGAAGCACAGCCAGAGTGCTTGAGGATGGGGAGACCACCTTACACACTTTGCACGTGCTGTCGAGAGGCCAGACTGTGGAGAAGGACCTCATGCTTGGTAAAGCAGACGGGCAGTGAAAAGGGGGGAGGTTCTCAAGGAGAGGACTGACACAGTGGCTGCAACAAAGGGCTCCGGCACAGGAACAACTGGGAGAAGGGCACAGCCCTGGGTGGGGTTTCATTCTGTGGAGCGTACGGTCGCTCCTGACCCGCATCGAGCCACAACAAGCTGGATAAACATGAAACCCGTTTCAAAAAAAAAAAAAAAGGTTGACTGTCTTTTCCAGTCTTATGAAACCATAAGGAAGCAAACCCTGAGGCCGGATTCTACTAGAGAGTGAGAGAAAAGTGGTCCAAGCACCCTCTTACATCGAGAAAACTCCCGACAGACCTGAGGGCCCCTGGCTGCCCTGTGGAGCCCGGGTTGTCACCGGTTTCCCTGCACGGTTCTCCTTCGTCTCAGCAGTCAGAAATAAACGGTGACACCCTGAGGCCCACGTCGCCTCCACATTTCACGGATGGCATCCCTTCCTTGAACTCACACCCAAACAGGGTCCTGAGAGTCCCAGTCTGCTACCTGCGAGGGGCTGCGGCTCACCGAGCATGGGAGAAGAGCAACGGGGAAGCTGGCAAAGGAGCAGACGGAAGGTGAGCAGGCCCCGTTCTCTGGAAGCTTCTGATCGGATGGCTCATGCTGTTGAGGAGTTCACAGCTGAGCTCTGTTTCCTGTTCACCAGGGCCCTCCTCTAAAAGAGCCAAACTCACTGCGTGGAGGCAATTCGGACTCACAGCAACCCCACAGGGCAGAGGAGATCTGCTCCCAGGGCTTCCGGCTGCGGCCAGTCTTTCTCGGACACAGCGGCTGGGGGGGTTGAACCACTGACCTTTGTGTTAACAGCTACCCAGTTCGCCACCAGGTCTCGGAGCCCTGAGCTAGGAAATCATTGGCACAGCTAAGTGCCTGCAGGCGTTTGGACATGATGGAGAACAGGCAGAATCACCAAATATGCCTTCCCTAAGGTGCTAGTAGGAGGGGAAATTCACAGGCGCCTTTCAGGCATTCCCAGAACTCTGAGTCTTACTCATTCACGGTGTGATCAGCCCCACGGGGCCTGCACGGCACAGCCAACAGGTGCGCTGCTTTTCTGTAAAGCAAGGTTTCGGCAAAGAGCCAGAGAACACTGCTGTAGCTTCCCACTAACAACTGGCTTTGCCAGCTGGAGGGAAGGGCAAGGTAAGGCAGGTTCATTTCAAAGGAGCTCTGTGCCCCATCACCTCCAGCAAATCCTCACTTGCTTGCATCTCATACCAAGGTTCTACCTTTAAAGTACAACTGAGAGCTCTTAGCTGGTCCACGCCACCTTAGCATTCGATCCTCTGTTCTGAGCTGCCACAGGCCACAGCACACAGCATGCGGTGAGGAGCAAATGCTTGTAGGGAAGGCCTGGGCCTCAGGCCAGCACCACCTGCACTCCTCCCCTTGACCATCTTCCCCCTGAACCCTCCACACTCCCCCCTCCCGTATTGTTGTTGGCTGCTGAGGAGTCAGCCCCTGACCTAAGGGTGACCACATACACAGTAGGATGAAGCCGTGGCCCACCCTGCGCCATCTCCATGACAGGCTATGGGTCAGACCACAGAGAGCCGCAGGGTATGCACTGGCTCCCCCCAAAGCTTCTTGATTCCCTCAAAGTGGCATGCCCTGGGTGGAACGTTCCCTGTGCCTTATCTGTTGGCCTTCAGATCCCTACATGTCATGCAGCATGAACTGCTCCACCCACACCTCAGTCCTCGGCATGCTGCGTTGCAGCTAATGGTGTCAGTAGACTGTGAATTTTCATAGTACAACCCGTGAATCCACTACAAAACGCAGGCACAGTGACATCAGGGTGCTCAGGCTACATCTCTGGAAAAATGATAAAGGCAAATCTTGGTCAGGAGGAACACCCACCTGGTATCGCCCGAGGATTATCTTGGCAGTACACTCAGGAGCGTTTTTGCAATAGACATATAAATTGAGCACTTCCCTTTTGCAGCAATTGTCTTTAAACACCTAAAAGATAAACATTAGAGGTCACACACACACACCCCAACTCCAGAGCAGTGCAAAGAAAGCAATGATGAACTCGGGCGGTCTCTAAGTTTCATCTCCAGCGTTGGGGTAGGAGGGTGGGGGGCTTCCAGACAGTGGTTGGAATGGAAATCTCAGACTCACCGCCACATTTAGACAAAAAGGACAGTTCCACATTCTCACTGCTGCTGACAGAGGTGACCAGAGCAGCAGGCTGCAGCTGGGAAAATGCATGGTGAACCTGACCCCACACGTTTGAAAATCAGGATCTGGGGCAGTGTAGACAAGAGGATACTTTCAGCTTCCTATCTCAGGGTGAACGTCTGAATTACTTACTTATAATTAGTGTCGCCTTAGTGAAATCGAAAAGAGAGAGCCTGGTGGCGTAGCGGTTATGTGTTGGGCTGTGATCCACAAGGTATGAAGTTCAAGACCACCAGTCACTCGCTCTGCAGGAGAAAGACGGAACTTTCTACGCCCATAAACATTACAGTCTCAGAATCCCACAGGGGCAGTTTTACCTTGTCCCTGTGAGTTGGCATCGACTCGGTGGCAGTGAGTTTGGTGATGTGAAGGTGAAGGGCATCCTGGTGGTGCAGAGGATTACAAGTTGGGCTGCTAACTTTGAGGTCAGCCGTTTGAACCCACCCAAAGTTCTGCAGGAGAAAGACGAGGCTTTCCACTCCTCTATGAATGCACAGCCTTGGAATCCCAAAGGAGGAGTTTTAGCCTGTCCTACAGGGTCCCTCTCTGTGAGTGGCTGTGAATTGAACATGACAAGATGGCAATGAGTAGTGAGTGAGTGTACGTCCAGTTGTGCTAGTGCACTAGTTCAGCACAAGTCGGGGTGACAGATATTCTCTGCAAGAGGTCAGATAATAAACTCTTGGGGGCTCTGCAGGTCACATACGGTGGTCTGCGTCACAACGATTCAATTCTTCCTTTATTGGACAAAAGCCACCGAAGACCGTATCATGAACAAGTGGGCCTGGGTGTGTTCTAGTAAAAGGCACTTGTTTACAGACACTGTCATTTGAATCGCACATAATTTTCACTCGTTGTGAAACCACCCTCTGTGAACTCTTACATACATTTTAATTTGGAAATAACCTACGACTCACAAAAGGAGTTTCCGAATACCCTACTTGTGATTCTTTTCAGCCATCTAACAGCGTGAAAGCAGTCCTTGGCGCATACACGGGAGAAACAAACCCGCTACCATGGAGGTGATTCTGACCCGAAGCCGCCGGGTGTGGTGCACAGTAGAACCGTGCTCTGCAGGGTTTTCTTGGCTGGAATCTGAAGGGAAGCAGAATGCCAGGCCTTTCTACTGTGGTGCTGATGGGCGAGTTCAAACTCCAACCTTTACGCTAGTGATTGAGCACACACTGTTGGTGACACGCGGAGACCTTGTCACGGGCCTCATGGGCCGCACAGCATCAGGCGGCGGCTGGGATTTGGTCCGGGGGTTGTAGTTTTCCAATCCTTGCTTCAGCAGCTGTGGAGGTCTCCGTCTTTAGCACAGACCCTCTGGTGGGCATTGATTTGTGAACCGCGTCCTGAGTGTCTGTGGAATGCTGATGCACATCAGACTAGGGGCTCAGGGAGAGCTTCCTGGAGGAGGTGATGTTTGAGGGTGGCTTGAAGTGAGGTCAAGAGGAAGTCTTAAAGGAGTAAATCTTCATGCTCTTGGGTTAGGCAACGGTTTCTTAGAAAACCAAAGCACAGCAACAAGGAGGGGTATGACGGGAACTGGACTTCATCAAACACACACACACACACACACACACACACACACACACACACACACCTCACTTCTTCTGTGCTCCAAAAGTCACCACCCACAAAACAAAAAGATCGCCCACAGGATGGGAGGGGGGTGGATTGGAAATCAAAAATCTGACAGGGGTCTTACATCCAGAATATAGAAAAGGACTCTTAGAACTCCACAATGAAAAGGAAGACAGATGACCAGATTTTAAAATAGAGGCTATGAATAGGCATTTCTCCCAAGAAGAGACAGGCCAAGTCATGTGATCAGTAGGAGAGCGGGAATGGAAACCACGATGGGACACCACTTCGCCCCCACGAGGAGGACCAGCATCCAAAGGTGACTTTCAAGGGGCGTGCGGAAGCTGGGGCCCTCACGCAGGCCCAGTGGCACTGGGAAACGGTGCGGTCACGGTGCAAAACTGACTGCAAACCCAAACCGCCCGCCTGCCACGGCGCCTGACTCACAGCGGCCTGTGGGACGGAGCAGAACTGCCCCGAGGGTCTCCGAGACACTTAATTTCCAGGCCTTCAGGGCTCCCAACAGTTATGGAAAACCTCCTCACAACTCATGACCACCAAGTCGATTCCAATGCATAGCGGGCCCAGAGGACAGAGCAGACCTGCCTCTGTGGGTTTCCGAGACTGCAGCCTCCACACCAGTAGAAAGCCGCGTCTTTCTCCCACAGAGCAGCTGGTGGTTTCGAACGGTCCTTACGTTTCCCAGCCCAATCCTTAACCCACTCCACCACCAGGCAGTCCCTTACGATGTCAATTACAGAGTTACCATAGGACTCAGTACTGCATACCCACATGGACACTCAAGTACAATGAAAACAGATGTCCAAATAAACAGCTAGACGTGAATGTTCACAGCAACATTGTGCACAAGAGCAAAAAAAAAAAAAAAACCCGAAACAACCCAAATAGGTGAATGTATCCACTCATGTAGGTAAACATGATGTAGTGTATCCAGATAATGGAATGTGACTTGGCTCTGGAAAGGAATGAATTCCTGATACCTGCTACAACGTGGGCCAGGTTTGAGGCTGCTATTGTGACGCGAAACAAAAAGGCTAGTCCGCAAAGCCCACATTTACGTGTCCTATCTAGAACAGGTGAATCTAGAGAATCGATTAGTAGTTGCCCGGTAGAGAAAGGGGTGGTGGTGGTGAGGAGTCACTGCTGCTGATTATGGGCTTCTTTTGGGAGTAAGGGCTGCACAACTGTGAATATCTACCACCTGCCAAGTGTAAGGAAATTTGAGAGTGTGTGAATTATATCTCCATAAAGCTATTATAATAATAGTAAAGGATGTCTCAAGGATTAACCAGACGAGAAAGGGAATTCCAATAAATAATACGTCTTGTTTCTCAATGTGCCCTCAGTGTGCCTGCAGCACGTAGAAGAAGTGGGTGAGGAAGATGCAGGAGAGGTCAATGGTGGGGTCAGTGAGGACCCAAAACAAGCCTCCCCCAAACAGGGGTAGGGGTGGGGTGAGCTCTGCACTGCCCTCATCACAGAGGGCATGGGCTTCAAGAAGGGTCCCCATCTCCCTCCCTCCTGCTCCAACCTCTGTGTCCCATTCAAACGGAATGCTGCCTTCTCCTCCATCAACCCGGTGGAGCTGTGAGCCCAAAGCCATGGGCTTCTTACCTCCTGAGACTTGATAACTTCCTTATCTACAGGGCAGATTGGCACTGCATTTAATTCTCTGGAGAGAGAAAAAGGAAGCGGATCTCAGACACCCCACCTCTACACACTTGCATCTCAGACACCAGACACCTTACTCAAACACATATCTCAGACCCCCCACTTCTACACACTTACATCTCAGACACCAGATACCTTACTCAAACACACTCATATCTCAGACACCCCACCCCTCCACTGTCATGCCCCAGACACCCCACCCCAACACACACTTACATCCTAGGCATGTCCTACCCCATACACTGACATCTCAGACAGCCACCCTAGCACACTTATATCCCAGACACCCACTCCATACACATACTTAAGACCAGCCCACGGCCTGGCTCACGGCCCACTCACCTCAGGGACAGGATGCACTGGTAGCAGAAGCGGTGTCCACAGCCGGTCTGGTGGGGGTTGTGGAGCACTGAGCGGCAGAAGGCACATTTGTAGCGCTCTTCCAGTTGCTCCACAAACTGGTATTCTGTGTTGGGCTCAAAGTCCAAAGAAATGGAGTTGCTGGAATTCTGGCGGATGAACCCACTGGGGACACCTCCTTGCTCTTCAGAGTAAGCCATGCTGGGGGTGGAGAGAGGAGAAGGAAAGCTATGTGTCAAAACTCCCTGTACCACCCGTCAGGATCCACCCCCCCACCCCAACCCAGCCATTCTGCTAAGGCTTTTTAACAGCAGTAGCAACTTCCACTGCAGCCGGGCCCCACAGAAGGATGGTACCTTTGAGTCCCTGAGCCAAGGGCCTCGGTACTGGCAAGCCTGTGCTCCCTTAACCTGTCCACTGGCTTCTCAAACCCACCCCAGTAATCCACTGCCATGGAGTGGCTGCTGAGTCACAGCCTACACAGGGTTTCCGAGACTGTCCAATCTTTATGAGAGCAGGCAGCCTCATCTTTCTCCCCGGGGGCACCTGGTGGGTTTGAATCACTGACTGTTGGGGTAGCAGCTCACCACTAGGGGTCCTTCTTTAAAAAACAAACCCACTGACATCAAGTCAAATCCTCCTCACAGCAACCCTGTAGGACAGAATGGAACCGCCCCTGTAGGTGACGAAACTGTCAATCTTTTCATTTTTATCTCATTTTATTTTTAATGTAATCATTTTATTGGGGGCTCGTACAACTCTTGTCACAATCCATACATACATCCATTGTGTCAAA